GGGCCTAAATTGGAGCGCCCTAAAATCAGAGAGACGGACAGGAGAAAACTTGTGGCTAAGAGACTGTTTGGCTTTTCTTCTTTTGTCTGGGCGTGGTTGCATTTGTAGCCCAGCCTGCCAACCTAGACTAGTAGCGCCTGGGCTGGCGCCGTTGCTTCTGAAAACGAGCGCTGCCTGTGGCATACGCAGCAGACGCCCATTAGGTGCAGGGTTCACGAGCGCTCCCTCAAACTCTCTGAGGCACTTCTGCAGCAAGTAACCTTCCCCAAAGAGCGCGTCTACCGAGGGCGGCGGGCCTGAGAGCGTGCTCCCTGGAGTTTGTCAAAGAAGAAAAATACACAAGAAAACCACCGCGCGCTTCTGCAGGCACAGCAGGCACAAAAGAGAACCCCTCCGGCATGCCCTTTTTCCCATTGGTGGCACCTTTGAAATCCAGTTTGTTTGTGGCTTCTCTAAGAACGGTGGATCCCAAAACATTCGCAAAGATAAGTGGTTCCCTTTTTTTGTGAGGGTCACAGGGCATTTTGGGCTTCGGACGTTTTTTTCTCCGATATTTGACCTATTGGAGAAGCGCGTGAACCATGGTGCAGGTGGAGGAAGTGCGGGGTTCGAACATCTCGCTGAAGCATCTTGGCGGCAGAAAGTATGGATTCCATATCTGCAGGGTTCCCTATATTTCCCCCTCAGGTGTTTTTGAACATCACCTCCCTCAAAAGTCGAAAGTGATGTTGAACAGTGAGCAAGGGGTTGCAACCATAGTTGAAAGGGGACGAAGCCCAGTTATCCCACAATCACAGCTGTGGTTGCCGCAAACTTGCCAAGCGGGTTTAACCGAATTCTGTTCAGTCATCGCAAAGGGAAAGACCCCAGCGTCAGATTCCAGGTTGCTGGGTGGGCGTAGGCCCTCGCCTTCCCTTGAGCCCGTACCCAGCACCCATTTGTTGGCTATCCAAGGTCAACTGAAGGCTCAAAGTGGATGGGACCATTCCCTCGCAGAAAAAGCGGATGAGTACACCAAAATTGGGAACTCAACCACCCCTGAGTTTAAGTCGGCCTTACACGAACCCAGGTCTGTCAAAATCGGGGAAGCCAAATTTTAAAACGTTTTTTTTGCTTGGTGTTCGTTTGTTCCAACAATAACGGGACCTTCAAACAAACACATTCACACATCGCCCGCTCGAATCCTCGCAGGAACCGCCTCGCCAAGTTGGAGCAGGCGCTCAGGAACAAGGACGAGCCCAAAGCTCAGCAAGAACGCTTCTTCAGGGTGCCTTGAAGGAAGGCCAAAGGAATCCCAAAGGACAACCAAAAGGACAACCATTCAGGTAACCCTTAGTTTGTAGTTTGGATTCGTGGTTTTCGGGATTTGAAACTCCGGCTTTTGTGGAGGGTACACGGGAACCCCCCTTAACCACCAATCCACCAATCCAAACTTTAGAGAAGTTGAACCAGTGGTTTGTTGCCCCCTTAGTTTGAGACATACTTTCTTGGGAAGGGCCAACCACATTCTAAAGGGGAGTTATGGGGTATTTTTTAGCCACATGTAGTCATGAGTGTAGGTGTAAACTATTTTAGGGGTAAGCTACTGGTTACAGGGACCCTTCTGAAAAGGTCTCAAGGCGAAAGCAGGGGCCACTTGAAACACCCACCCACCCAAAATACCAGTTGACTTAAAGGATCCCCTTGTAAAGCACCTGGCTCCTGGTATGCGGTTTGCAGGTTGGATTGAGTTTGCTTTTGGTGGGGTTCTGTTTAAAGTCCATGGACAACACATTTTGACTTGCGGTTGGTGGGGATGGTCATGGCATTTTAAGATACCCCAAACGTTGACCATGATCAAACATATTTGATGTTTGGTTGGGAGGGGAAAGGTGAGGTAGTTTCCTTATATTTGTTCAGTGGTTGGAGAGTTGCGCAGGCAAAACAGGTTTATCCAACGAGACTCGGGCCTATATTTCCTCAGTTCCTCCATGCCATTGCCAGACTTAACTAACCGGTTGCGGACGTGTTTATCTTGAAAGCGGCAAATGGTAAAAACTGTTTGCACGCGGTCTAAGTCTGACCCAGTGATTTGGGTTTGACCGACGGGAAAGGTCCAGGGTTTGGGCGTGAAACTCCGTCAGTCGGACCTTCCCGAGGCTTGCGGAAAACCTGCACGTCATCGACTTTGAGCAGCTGAAGATTGAGAATCAGCAACTCAATGTCGGCATCTCAGCGCCCGGGGGCCTCCGCAGCGTATGGACCATGTAAGCTCATTTTCTGAGTTGCTGGACTTTGGACTTCTTGTTGGCCAATCTACTCAGGAAATGAGTTGGATGCTCAACCCAGTTTTGCCAGCTTTAACATCACCTGCTTGGCCATTCAAAGATGTATAAGGGGGCACAAGTAGGTGTGTTTTGGCTGGGGTAGCTGGGCTTAACTCCCTCATACCCATATGGTTCCAATCCACTTACCGGATGTGTAAAAAGCTTCCATGTGCCAACCACGATGCGAACCCCCTAGACTTTTGAAAGCTAAGAAGCCCATGCAGAGATAAAGCATGCCGCCATTTCGCTTTCGAGTGATTCTGCCTTGGTTGTGTTGTTGAATACGTGAGCAAGCCTGAAAGAGCAGAGTTTTGTGCAGTGCTGCCTCTGGTTGCAGACAAAGCGATACTGTGTTTCATTTCCACATTGGGGACACCGCGCAGGGATGGAACGAAAGTTTGATAATTGCAGGCCCCCCTATTCATCACCCAGCTTGTCACTTTTAACGGCCCACTTCTACATGTCCATTGTGCAACTTTCAATGATCCTGAGCTGATTTCGACTGATTTGATGTGACGCCAGAATACGACGTTGAGGCATGATCACTGCCAAATGTCACTACTGGGTTAAGGAACTGCGAAACAGCGCAACTCACCTTTGGATGAAACAACAAGCGCAAAGAGATTCGACAAAGTTGTTGGCACCCGGTGCAAGACCCTTGTGAGCTCGTGATGGGCTGTGTGATGTTGGGACGTGTTGATGTGGGCTTCCTGAAATGGAGCGAGCCGCCTTGGATGGTTTTCAAGTGGACGCGCCGTGCGCCAACTTCTGTCGGCTCCCCGAGTTTCGGAAACACTAGCTCCTTGGAAGGACCTCTATGGCAAGGACCTCGCATACGTTGGTTGAGCTGCGCAAAACATGGGAGTATATCAAACTAGGGGAACCCAAGAAAAGGGTAGCCCTTCGATTCGAGCACCAACCAAACAGGGCTCAAGCATTGTGAGAATCCCCCACGTTCTATGATCGCAGGAGAAGATTGAAGAAAGGAACGAGGAGTTGCACAAGCCGCTGCCCAAGTAAGCTCTGGAAGGGAATTCTCCCTTTGGTTTCTCCTTTTGAGTCGTCAGCCTTCTGTGTTTCTCCTTTTGGTTTCTAATTGTTCACTTGCTGTTGCCGTTTTTGGGCCTGATCCCCCCCCCAATAAACCAGCTGCGCCCGCAGAGGCCCCGTGCGAACTTGAGTGAGTGTAATGTCCAGGGCGGGTCAAAATATGGTTCCTTTTTGAGGGTGCAAAATTGTAGCTCTTTGGTCGGACCCCTATTTTGTGAATTTGCCCTGGCCTTTTGGCATCCATTTGCTTAACTTGTCCTTCCCTAAAGCCGACCTTTTGTTGTCGTCCAGTTTGATCCAAGTGAGGGTTCCGGAAGCTTGACCTTGTTCTGCTGGGAAGCGAGTGTCTTTGGGAGGTGACTTTGAGAAAGGCAGCATGTTGGGAGCAGAACGCCACACACAGCCGAAGCAAGACCACCGTAGCCAAAGCAAAAAGACAAGTGTAAAATTCGGATTTGAAGTAGTGGGAAGAAGTTGGTGACTTTCACACTTAGTTCTGGTCTATGTTCGCAGTCTTTCTCTCAGGGAGCTGCCTAATTGACTGCTGGGCGTTATCAAGCAGGATCAACATGGGCATCCCTGAAGATAGGGTTTCTAGAGGCTTCCGCTTGCAACACTGTCCGAAACGGGTGGCCTGGTCCCGATTTTCAGGACGTGCTCCCAATGTGGGCTACCCATTTGTGTCGTACCAAGGGGCCCACCAGATACGCAGTCCGGAGCCGAGGCTTCGCAAGAAGACCATTGTGACTGTTCAGATCATCACGCACATGAGGGAGAAGGCGAGGATGAGTGTGAGATTCAGTACTACGATTCAGTACGTTTGAGTGAGAGACATGCTTTTGAATGGGCTCCAACAAAGCGATTAAACCCTTGACAAGAAACACAAGGGAAGATCTTGAAACTAGAGTGGCCGAGTACATGTTTAAAAGGTGATCCACGAACAGGCAGGTCCCCACAAGCCTTGCAAAGCTGCAGGAAACTGGTTATACTGTGAGGGGTCTGAAGCGCTTCAACGCAAGCTCGAGGGTTGGTATGAGGGCAGAGGGCCTTGCATGCCTCGCATCCCCCTGGGCACAAAAACCATGTGGTGACAATGAATTGAGTTTGCTTTGCGTTCGAGTTGTGTGCGGTTTGAAGACAATTGCTTTTGTCGGGAATGGCCGGAATGGTGTACTCCCTGCAAACAAGCATTGAGCCTCAAAAAGGGGGCTACCCCGAAAGAGGCTCCTTTGACCATTGAGATCTGTTGGGTGCCATATCAACCTGCAGGAATGCAGGTCTTCAGTTTGGCCCCAAAGATCACCTTTGATCTCCATTTCTCTTTTCCAGACCGACTCTCCAGTTTTCGGGAGAACTGCCAGGTGCAGTTTGTCCAGAAAGAGTACCAAGTTCTCAAAGAGGAGCTGGCCCAGCTGGCAAGCCCAATTTCTGCGGTTCAAGGCGTCGTTTTCATGCAGAGAGGGTCAACCCTCACAAAGATCGCGCCAATGTTTACCTGGACGGGGGCAGTTTCAACGCAGAAAGATTGATGTGCGGCCCCGAAAGCCAATCCACTTTCAGGAGGAATCGCCTTTTGGGTGTAAAAGACCCCCCTTTTGTGGGGTAGAAGACACCCTTCAGGTTCCAGGTTACTTTGCAGAGGCCATGAGTCATTGCTACGTCGCCTTCTGAGAATCTAGAGTTATCCTTTTGGTGAGGTGACCAGTATGTTATACGGCCGCGACTTAGTGCCAAGCTTGTTTCCGATGCCGAGTTTCGTGAACCTCCTGATCGTGTGTTGATGTAAGTATGGCCCTCGTTTCAATTGTACACCGCTTCAATTTGCACAGGCCACTTTTTCAGAGCGGGATAGGTACACAGAAGCGACAACATCACCGATCTATGCTTCATCTTGCTCGTGCTCAGTAGGGAATGTGGGGCGTGAACCCAGAAATGCCCTTAAAGGAAACCACCAGTTGGATGGCTCTTCTTGAGGTCATTCCTTTTCTCATTCCCTTCTTATCGCACCCATCGCAAGTCATTTGGAGAGGCAGGGAATCCGGCGCATGAGGCTGGACCAAGACCTGGGCGCTCAGCGAGACCTGGTGACCAAGACCAAGCACGAGCGCGATGAGCACAGGCCCTGCACCCTGGGGATGCGTGGGGGATCGCGAAGAGCGTTTTGCAGCTCACCGTTCGGAACGGGGGAGCATAAGGTGAGTGGTTTCGGGGCTTCCACGCTGCGGGATCCCTGTTTAGATTTCACTTAGGATTGTCCCTTTTGAGGGTCGCTTTCATGGTTTCCAGGTATCCCAAAATTGGAAGCCAACCCATCATTCTGACCCTGCAGAAATGAGACATTCCGGGCTTGAGCCCTTTGATGCAGAATCCCTTTCCATAAGATTTCATGGGCGCGTTCAGTCAGAAATTCCTTTTGTAGATTTGAGTTGCTTGAGAAGTACGACCATTCCTGAGCGTAGACAATGTTGTGATTTGAATGTGAGGCAAGATGCACTTTCCAGGGTTGTGCCCCAAATGGCCTTTTGGCGAGCGGCTCTGCATTGTTGTTTGTTGTTTACGCTTGCATCGTATTCCTTGTGTACAATGCCAGGCCAAATCCGTGCTTTGCTAATCCATCCGCATGTTGCATGAAGGATTTCAACAGCAGCAGCAGCAGCAGCATCATCATCATCATCATCGTCATCGTCGTCATCATCATCATCATCATCATCATCATCATCATCATGTTTATCCTCACCAGCACCATCATCAAGGCCATCATCAGCATCGTCGTCGTCATCGCCACCATCACCTCCCATCAGCATCGTGGGCAACAGCACCTCTCCGTTGTGGCTTTACACTTTGCCCAAACAGAACTGCACCCTTGCCGTCAGAAAGGGAAGACATGGGCAGATAATGGCTAGTGTGGTAGGATCCCAACACACACACACGCATGTATGTCAAATACAGCACAAAAGCAGGATAACTCATGGTCTCTGTCGGGTTTTCATGGTTGCACGTGTGCCAGAATTCAGGCAGCCAAGCTCTCAGGCAAGAGTATGCCTCTCTGAAGCAGCAGACCGGCATCATGAACTCTGAGCACCTTACCAAAGACTTCAAGGCGTTGCCGTCCCGCAAGTTGACATGGAACCCAACCAGACTGATGGATGTATCTTAAAATTGGGGGACCCCTCCAAAGGCCGGTATTCTTGCTTGACTGCAGTTCAAATTGCCCTCACAAGGGAACTTAAAAAGAAAGACACGCCCACACGTTTTGGAGGTTCCGTGTCAAACCTGCAGGAGTGTCCTTGAACTTCGCTTGCGCCGGATGTGCAGGGCGGTTTGCCTGGGTTTGGGTGACCTGCAATTTGCAGGACGCTTGAAACAGCAACTTTGGGAGAACAACAACTTTGGCAAGATTTTGATGGTTACAACTGTTGCTTGTCCGTCGTGACCAGGGTTATGCAGCTTCATGTTCGAAGGCCATTCCTTTTTTTGGAGGAAGTGCCGGGGGCAAACTACGCCGCTCGGAGTGAGCCTTTTAGGGGCTACCCGCTGGCGTTATTTGCTTTGCTGTTTGGGATAGGATCTCTGCATCAAAGGCCGATGTTTTTTTTGCAACTGGGCCAGGTGCCGATTCAAGACGCGCGCAAACACGCGCACACACACACACACACACTACAAGAGAAAGCAGCATACCATTCCCAACTTATGACCCATGCCCCGGCATCGCAAAGTAGCAGCCTGGAAGAAGAACTCGCGAACTCGTTGTTTAACTGATTTATGCACTGAAATCATTACCCTGTCCAATCAAGCCTCGTAACCTTTGTTGATTCCTTGCCAGTTTAAAAGCTGTTGTTGTTCAGTTCTTGAATTGAGGCATCAGCCCTCAGTCCTCCAAAGCTTTGCCTCAAGTCTTCACGCAACCATTGGTCCGTGCTTGTGCCCTCACAATCTTGGCCTTGCACCCCGCAAACATGCCACTTAGGTGTGTTCTGACACACGGACCTCCTGAAAAGGTTTGGCTTCCCAGTGCTTCCCCAAAGACACCATCAAACATGGCCCTTTGCTGTTTTGGGAGAGAGGCCCATGTCCAGTCTGCACGGCTTCTCTCACCCCATGCTTTGCCATGGCCTGCTCTCCGCACCGAAGCTCCCAGCGCCGCGATGGGCCGCGCCCATCGGCGGCCTCGGATCCGCGGGAAAGCCGCGGCCGTGGGGCAGCAGCGTCGCCAGTGCCGCAGCGGCGGCCGTGGCGCTGCCACGGCTCAGAGCTCGTGCGCGCGCCTTGGCGAAGAGGAGCCTAAAGCCGAAGTGCCTGGACCCAGATATGACCTACGTCTGAATCCGTTTCTGATTCCATGTCCGCCTTGCAAGATTGTTGTTCTTCCAAAATAAAGCCTTTGTGGTAACCCACCAGCTAGGTGTTTACAGAAAGTGAAGGGCCAAAGTCAGAAGAGCTGGCTATAGGGATGATACAGGAGCGAAGGGGGGATGGATGCTTCCAGTCTCAGCTCTACTTACACAGATTCATTGATTCTCGCCGTCTAACTCCTTCTCTGCCAACGTACCTGCTTGCTTGCTTCCTTTAGATTGGGGCTAACCACTCACTGATGCAGCCTTTGCACCTAGGCCGTTTCAATCCAGTTCCTTTGTTCGCACAGATGCTTAGGTTCACAGAATCTTTTTCTAGAACGGACACTTTGTGCTCGCCCCCGGTTCCCTTTCATTTCAGTGCTTTTTCTTAAGTAGGCGACCCAACCAAAGGTGGGTGTTCCCTTGGTTTCCCTTTGCACCAGCCCCAGAAGGATAACCACAGAAAGAGGGCAGACCCATTTCCGGGCATTTGTTCGTCTGCAGGCAGCTGGCCCTCGGCAACGGACCAGGTCCAAGTCCTTTGGGACGACGTTTGGTGGAACTGCGAGGTGCTGGACATTGGGCTCGACGGCTGCAGGGTGAAGTACCACGACGGCGGGGATGTCGAAGAGCCTTACCGATCTTTCATGGCCGGGCGTTTTTGGATCCCTTCGTGCGCTGGCCGGCTTGTTTCCTTTGCCTTGTGCAGAAGTAATATGCAAAATAGGGACAAGAACCAAGAGGGAAACCCACTGACTTGGAAACCGCCCATGTGTATTGCGAGACTTGCCAGACGCCCTAAAGGGCCTTTTGGCTTGGGCAGTCTGGTGGAGGTTTATGAATGATTAGGCACCCACAAGAGCAACCTATCTGAATCGAAAGCCTTCCCCAGAGATTCAGGACTGCCACAGTTGGCCCTTGGTCCCATGCTGGTTGCTTTAGGTCTAATTTGATGGCATGGAACAGTTGTCAAACATGATAGGTTTGCCTGTCCTCGTTTCAGACGTCATGGCGCCCAACCTGTTGGCCTCGCACTGAGGCACTGGACCTTCTCAATCATGGGCATGTGTTTCGCCTAGGCGCATGTGGATGTGAGCTCCCGCGTGCGAAAGCCGCGGCGTGCGCTGCTGGGCGAAGATTCCGACGTCGAGGTGTGGTTGGACGACCTTTGGCGGCCTGGAAAAGTGCGGGCAGTGGATCTCGATGCGCAGCTGCTTGGTCCAGTTGCTCCAACTTACGTCTGGGTGCTAAATAGCCCGTAATTTTTGTCTAGTTTGCCCAAAGAGAAACCAGAAAAGGAGTGGGTAACTGTTTTTTGTCCAGACCCCCCTATTTAGCATCGATGGCTCTGAATCAGTGTATCATTTTTTGTTGGCCGGCGTTTCGCAGTTGCGCAGTGACGACTGTTTGAAAGTTGGGTTGTGATGTTTGTGTTCAGTGCAAGGCTTGTTGCCAAAGGAAATCGTGTGATGTTTGCCTTACACTTGAAACTTAGAACACATTTGTTAGAAGTGAATCCATTAAAGTGATACCAGCGGTATCCTCACAACTATTCTCTACATTCAGAACCACCCCCCAAAAAGTAGCATCAAGAACCCCACAAGCCGTTCACTTTACGGGACCGAAGATTTGAGTTCTATCCTTGGGGTTGAATGACTTAGACCAGCCCTTCTTAGGGCTGGGGCCAAAGGGGAGAACTAAGATGACAGGGATCCGGTCGACAGGTTGAGGAGCTTTTCCTCGGGTTTCCACTACATAGCCGTAAGATGGGGGATATGTGTTTCTTTGACGGGACCCTTTGTGAGGTTGGTTTAAAGGGAAACTGAAGGAAACCCACCCCTTCTTGGCATACCCTCAAACGACTCATACAAATGGTCATGTACCTTGTTTTCCCTTTGGGATGGCATGACGTGAGGTTGTGCAGCATCGAGTATGACGATGGGGAGGCAGGACCTGTGAAGCACCTGGTTCAGTGGACCCGTTGGACGCAAGTTGGTCTAAAGTTTGAGGCTACCTTTTGTCAGGCCGAGTCGAAAAGGACGACAGATTCGGGCATCCAATGTCGTGGGTCATGGTTTGTTTGAAAGGATGTACTTGCGCACCAATTGCGCGAGGGTTTGCCTTGAGCATGTGTTTACGGTTTGAACTACTTTGAGTCGTAGGTGCATGGCCCAATTTCCAAGGGTTGCTGAATGTGCCCAATTCGCTGGACGGGGCCGGGAATCTTGTTCGCCCAACGACTGGAGTCTTGCGAATTGCAGCCACTCAGTAACTTAAATCCATGGTTGCAAACACAAGGGAACTAACCTCAGTGCCTCCAGCCATCGTGGCTATAACCAATTCAGTTGGTTGCTAAGTACGCTCCGCGAGGCTCTTAAGGCTCGTAAAGGAACTTGGAGGATTCTAGCACTGGCCAGATTGGACCCCGGTTTCGGTTTTGCGCTGCCCTGCGAGGTCCAAGAGGAGGTGCCGTGTGCTTTGGTACGGCGCCAAAGAACGGTGCACGAGGGCAGCTTCATGGAACCTCGGGCAGGCGTGTTGCCCCTTTTAGTTCATCGGAGTTGGTGCCGGGGTCTGGCAGCATACGTTTAAGCAACCAGACCCCACCCCAACTTTAAAGGGAAAGCACACAAGGGTGAAGTCAACCACCCCACCCTCATGAAGGGTGGTTGGCCCAATCATGGGGTTTCTCTTCTTGGAGGTCATTGCAACGGCAAGCTAAAGGGACACCTGCTTTAACCCCCAAACCGGTGCTGAGGGAGAAACAGGCCCCTAGTTCCTGCGTTGAGGGGCTTGTTAATTAGCCTGACCCCGCTTTTGGTTGGTCGTGAAGGGACCCCTCAAAAGGACACTAACGTTCCGATAGGAAGGTTCCGCCTATGTTTCAGGCCGAAACATGTTTGGGCGAATTGATGCCACCTGGGGGTGAAACATGCTCACCCATGATCAAGATCGGGGGGGAGCCTTCAGTTTATCAGTTTGGCACACCGACAATTCTGCCAGGCAAATTGTTTTCAGACCTGTCTTTGGGTGTGAGGGCGTTCATGCAATGGTGGTAGAAGCAAAAGTATGCTGGCTAATTTGGTCCATGCCCCCCATGTAGTTGCAAGCAATGCGAGATTAGCATGAACCCACCCAGGTGGAGGGACTCCTTGTTTGGAGGCCTACCCACACAGCCATCAGTCTGACTTGGGTGTTCAGGCCGCTTGCAAAACTGGGCTGCAACCCTGGGTATGACTGGGAGAACTTAGGTTCGTTTTCTTGTGCCAAAATGTGAAACGGGGTTGGACTGGGTTCCTTATCACAAAGAAGGGGATCCTATACAGCTGGGGAAAGTCATGTTGTTTGGCCCAGGTATTATTTTAAAGGACCCCGTTCAACACCCAAGTGCCTGCCAGCTTGAGGAAGCTTGGGAGGACGGCCGTTGGCGCGAGGGTGAGGTGGTTGAGATTTGCGGAGGCTCGCGATACATGGTCCGATTCCCGGATGGGGAGAGAGAGGTGACGCGCTTGCGCGAGCCTGCCGTGCCACTGTACATGCTCTACGTGGGGCAGGGCTATCAAGGAGCGAAAGGAGAGACAGCAGGCAACTTCAATAAGAACAGGATTTGCCAACCAGTTGGTGGTGTTTGCTCGCTGGCAAGACATGGATATGCGCTATGTAGCAATGAAAGCATACTATCTGACCATTTGCCTACTACAGGGGTAAAGAAACGTTGTGATGTTTGGTACTTTTCTTGGGGGTCCCTTGCTTCGGTCTTCGGAGTTCTTGTGCGATTTGCAGGTTGGAGGTGGAACCCATTTTGGCTCATAAATAAGAAGCGATAAACATATGAAACCAAACACGTGTGTATATATACCTGGACCAACCAAGGGCACTTTTATTTTCCGACTGTCCGCAAAAAACCGTGCATTTTCTGGAAATCCATACGTTTGAGCAAAAACTGTACTTTTCTTGCGGGCTCAATAAAAGACATGGCAGCATTCAACTACTTTTTTCTGCAAGAATCTCATATTCAGCTCCGACCCTGGCACTAGAAATTGTCATGGAAAGACCAAATTGCATGCGTGCAATTCACCAAGGACAAACGGTGCGCATTTCCCCAAGGAAATGTTCCACTGATTTCCGTACTTTCTCAGCAGATTTCCATACTTTTTTCCGCAGATTTCCGTACTTTTCCCGCCGATTTCCGTGCATTTCCCGCCGATTTCCGTGCACTTCCAGTTTCTGCATTTTGGCTGAGAAAACTGCAAACTTGCAAAGGCGGCAAGGAGACTGTCACACGTTGCCCCACAGCAAATGGAAACAAATGACCTGAAGCGAAATCAAGTATGACGGGCCATACAAATTGCAAACTGTGCTTAAGTGCATCCAGGAACTTCACAAACGCTCACAGCCTGCTAAAGGCGATTTCCGTCAAACTTTCTAAAAAGTGCTCATGCACGTTGAAATGTACGGAAATTTCAGTACATTCGGAGGGTGCAGGTATATATATGTTTTTTTCTACACACATATGTGGTTTATATATATATATATAAGTATGTAGTATGCGCATGTCCCATTTTCCCTTGGGGCTACAGGCTTTGTTGGTTTTCCATGGGTCTTCCCAAGGAGTCGTGACAAAGATCACGGAGGAGGAGGTGCTGGTGGACATCGGCGCTGAGGTTTGGGGCCGCATCCCTGCGCGCCTCTTCGGGGACTCGGCCGCGTTGTTAGCGCGCGAGGAGGTGGATCTGGGGATGCAGCTGGATGCGCCTAGGCGAAAACGCATGTTCGGATGTTCCTTTTTTTTTGGGGGGGGGGCGGGGGTCCAATTGAAATCAACCACAACAACCGGTTTTCGGATTTTCTGCATGGTTGATGGAGGCATGGGTGCAAAACCAAAACAACCTCAGCATACAGAGTAGTGTATAGTTCAATGCAGTTGTAGTGAGCAGTGTATCCCTAACAACTGATAGGACCCTGTTTGGTCAACAACTGGCTCAAACAGGGAAAGCGGAGACAAACCACCCCGTTGCGGGGTTACCACATTTGAAGACCATGAACCCCTGGGTCTTGCGGGCCAAGCCAAACCACCATGATTGATGTTGGGCGAAGTTCACTTGAGGTGTGGATTTCCGGCCTGGATGCGGGGAAGCAGCGCCTGGAGCTCACGCGTTTCCTGGGTCGCGTAGACCTGGATGCCGACGTGTCCCCGGGCTTGGCGCGGTTCCGGCGCTATGTGCTGCGCACAGACCGGCCTTGAGACCCTGAGACGCGCGGAAAGAGGAAAATGAGCATGCTTCTTGTTGAATCGAAAGGGATGAGAGAACACTTTGTTGGGCTTTTGGAAAGGGAAGCCGTTTGGAGACACCCCACATGGGAAGGTGCTTCTGCAAAACGACGGGACTAGTGAGCAAAGGTTGTCAGAAAATATGAAATGGGACTTTTTTGCGGTTTGGCATTCCACACGAAAACTGCCACTCCCAAACAGAGCACTTTCTTCCCACCAGAGTCACTGGGCAGGAATAATGCGCTTGTTAAGGGATGCTAAAAGAAGGCAGTAGCAGCCCTTTCAATCTTTCCGGCTTCGGACCTCCAACAAGAAAGCGCGGTTTCAACCAGCGGGCTATGGTTTGCCGCCTGGTTTATGCTAGTTTCTCCAGGTTGACATAGCCAACAATCTTATTGTTGAGCTGCATGGTTGACAGTTCTTTGGGGTTTGGACCCACTTGAAGGGGAGCAAGATCCAAAAGGGGGCTCTCCGACTGGACGCGTTCCTAATTCTCGTTGATGGGCAGGAGAGACTTGACATTCTCAAGGTTCCTCACTTATTCTCAGCAGGGGTTAGAAGGCCTTTGTATCAAGGTTCGGCAGTCAGCCCATGGCAATGGAGCGAGAGATCAAGGTTCTTTTTCCTCAGGATTTCCGAATTTGAACTTTGGGCCTCGTGGCCTGCAGCAGGTTCTTGCCTCAGCCCTGCCTCAAAGTGCCGATGCTTTGCCGAGATACTGTCAATGGAGAAAGAGGTAGGATTCAGTATGATCATGTATTTTCAATGGAGGGTCAAGGCATCGAATCTCGCAGGCCCTTTTCGTCCCAGTGGAATCCTGGACCTTTGGCATTCTGGCTCACTGTTCCCTATGCCTTCATCCGGTGTGAACATCACCCTTTGGGCCAATTCGAAGTAAGTTTTTCCGTAGGTGGGGTGATGTTCCAGGGGCAGAGAGGGAATCCCGTCGCACCCAAACCTTTGTTGCCCTCCATTTTACCTTTTGGGTGGCCCAAAAATTGTTGGGGTCAACACGGACGGGTTCCCCCCCCCAGTCCACAGAAAATGTGCCAGGACCGCGCTGAGCGCATCAAGGATCTCAAGGCTGGAGCTCAATGGAAGTCTTCCCACGCTTCCGGAGTTTGTGTTTGGTTGGGTTATTTGGGGAAACCATATTTGGACAAAATTTGCATGCATCTACTATCTCCTCTGGACCCCAGGGGAAATACATGTAAACCCCACCAACCAAAAAGCGAAAATGATTTCCCTCGAAAGGCACCAATGGCCTTCATCAAAGCCAGCTGGAACTAAAAGGGCTTACCAAAAAGAGCTGGATTTCCAGTCGAAATTCCTGTCGCTGGATTGCTTGGAGCCGGTTTTCAGGAGGGGATCACGCAGCTCAAGAAGCGGCACGGCCAGATGTCGGGGCCGGGAAGCCCTGCGAAGTGCCCTGATATGGGCGCGACACGTGGTATGGAACCCGTTGCGAAACGCTTTTCTGTTCAGGACCAAGAAGGAAACCGACCATGTTTAGGGACCAGGAGGGAAACCAACCACGTGTTTTCGGGCTTTGATTTTTTTCAGACGCCAAGGATAAAGCATTTGTGGTTGGTGGAGGCCTTTAAGGAGCCCTATTTGAGAGGCACCACCGCTGGGAGCTAGCCAATGCCCATGTGTGCGTGACTATACTCTATGCCTAGCTAGGGTCACCTGCAAAAGTCCAGTGAATCGACCCTTGAACTTTGCCCTTTCCAAGAAGACTGCCCAAACACCACAAGCCCCAGTCGCATCGCACGAGGTTCATCAAAGCCCATGGAGGCAAGATATGATGCGCATCGTGGCCGAGGGGTCAGCCTGGGCGATTGCCGAATGAACTGACGGTTCAGAGGCGCGATTAAATCCAAATGGTCCCCTGAGATGGAGGGACTCGCCAAGATTTCGGACAAACCTTGTCCTGTGGCGCCCTATTTTGACTGCCGAGGTTGGGATAGAACCCCAAAGGAGGCGAACCAAAGCAGAATCCTGAGGACCGCTTGGGGTCAATCTTACGGAGGGGGGGGACCATTTTAACTTTAAAGGCCCCCCTTTCTTCAGGCCTTGCGGATTTTCAGGCGCCATTCCCTGGCTGTTATGGAAGGTAGAAGCCATGTGCAGGATTAGCATGTGAAAAATATGAGCCCATGTTTTGCACGAATTTCATGGGAAAGCAAAGTCAGACACTAGAGGGGGGCATTGTTTGGGTTGAATCAACCGGTAACCTACCACTTGTGGGTGGCTCTGACAATTGTAAAGTGATGGAACCAGTAGATTGGGTGTTGACAGTTGCATGGTTTTTGAAGAACAAAAGCAACCGCCCCGTGCTTTAGACGTTTCACCTCACATGCCGATGGAAGAGCCATCAGGCACCGTCACTGATTTGCAGCCTGTTGCAACTGCCATGTTGGGTTGTGCGCGGTTTCCAAGCTGGAGGGGCATTACCGGACAAGACATCCAGTGCAGATAGACTTCCAGTTCCAGAACATCAGAACATGTTTGAAGATGCCACGGACAACTGTTTCCAGACGGTTCTTTGCTTGGCATGCTTGACCGTGCGAGGTAGAAGTTCAAATCTGAAGTCCTGTAGCCGTTTGCAGGTTGTTTCGCAAAGGCAGCGCGGCAGGTTGACGAATCTTGGGCGATGTCACTGTGCATGCTGGCCATCAGGGCAATGGTTTCACCGTCTCCTGGAAAAGGTCAGGATTTGAGCAAGGTGGGCTTGGTGGGCTTCATTCTCCACTGCAGGAAGTGATATCACTAGAGCCGTTCATGTTGAATGTTTCCGTGCCATGGTTTTTCAACAGCAATACTTGAGCTTTATTCCAGATGGTAATGGTGTCCCACTGCAGCTTATCAGCTTATGGATTGGGGCAAATTGGATTTTCCGGTTAGCTTTGCTTGTAACAAGCTGTTGGGTCTCCTCGTGTCGGCATGCGCTGCTAGTTTTTTTTCGGCTCAAAGTTCAGAACAGCGGGAGTTGCATTGCCTTGCGTTGCCTTTTTCCTCCATTGCCAGCCGAGAACCGCTGGCAGCAACGCTTGCCTTTGCGCAGCTTCACAGGTGCTTTTGAGCTTTTGCACGTGCAATTGGGGCTATTTGAAGCCTTCACAAACCGATTCCTCGCCCAATAGGCCACGGACTCTAGGGAGCCATGGCAGATGTCGGCTTTGTTCTGGCGCGGCAGGGGCAGCGGAATGGACAACAGGTCTAGCAAGTCGAAGCCGAACGCAGGGGCTTGTTGAGTGCCTTATTGGGGCCCACTAAGACACAAGCACGGCAGGACAATTTGCTTGCTTCTTAAAATCTGTCTCCCGTAAAATGCTTGGTGCCCACATGGCTTCCCTTTGAAACCCAGAAGGTCCACCAACCCCAAAAGGGTTTCGCGTAGCCTCGCCAGGCGTCGGCCGCAGCTTCGCCCGCCAAGCTGAGCTGCAGTTGGTGGCTTTCCAGGCTCCCTGCATCAGGTTCGCAGATGAAACCCGTTCTGTTGATAGGGGGGTGGTCCACCTAAAAAAAAATGAGTCAATTTGAATCAGGGGGTTAGGAAATCCGGGTTTCCATTGTTCCTTTTTTGGGGCGGTTGAAACATCAACTTGAGGGGCATTTAAGCACTTCCCCCCCCCCAGTAAATACCATACCCTCCCTCGTAATAAAGATATCCGCGTGGGGGCGGAACAACACCTATTGGTTACATTAGACTACCAGAGGGTTCCGCTGCGGTCCTTGTCCACATATGTCCAAATGGGTTCCCCTCCAGTAGGCTGTTTCAAGGTTCCAACTTGAATGGTGCTTGCTGGGCTAGCCCACCTTGAAAGGGACAGTGATCCCTGAGTCGACTAGTTTGGGCATTAGAGGTTTCATGTTTGTTTGTCGCGAGGGTGACCATTTTAAGCTTTTGAAGGCGGAATGGCTCCCTTGTGTGAAATTTCCACACAGGCGAGGACTGTCCGAGACTGGCTCTGGGCTGATGCTCCTTCCAGTTGCTGAATGGCTGGCCCGGGCCTTTTACTGTCCGAGTATTTTTGCATTACTCCATGCCATCGCCTGGGTCCACAAAGCAAAAACTGCGCTGCCAAAACATAATTTCACTTTAGATCACCCCAGCAGCGCCCAGGAGCGTGCCTTCGAAAGGCCCCACCCGGGCGGCCGTCCAGCGCGCGGAACGAGGGAAGGCTTTGGCTGCGTCGGTGCCTTGGTGCGGCGCACCACTTGGGTGGCGCCCCAAGGTTGACAAGGTCCAGCAAAAGCAGTCTGTACTATATGGCTGTGGGTCAAAACCCTGTATCCCTGGTGAACATCAACAATAGGTGGCAAATGGGGGCTCATCCTCCCCAAAATGGAGCCATAGGCTATGCCCCATGGCCATATGGGAGGGGGTTCTCAATCAGTTGTCAGCGTTATGAGCCACGGGATGTATACATCTCCTTACACGAGGTTTGTAAGACGGACGCTGATTTTCAACAAGTAATTGGGACAGGATGGCAAGGTTCGCGACAAGGGATGGTTCAGAGAAGGATTTCTGACACAGTGGAGTGAGAGGAATCATTCAAAGAGCCATGCGTAGAGGCTCTTGTCCCACAGCTCCGCACTATCGACAATGCCGTGTTTCGTGACCACGCAGACTGGCCTGGTGGTCATTTGACATGCATCCCTGTGTGCGGTAGCCATTTGAAGGGCTCGGGCCAGGAGTCGCGGGACATGGTTGAGACTTTGAAGGTCCGAGTGAGAATATGGCCATAAATTTTAATAGGGAACCACCTCAAAAGTGATTGGTGGACATGAATCCCCACCGAATTTTGATGTCCACCAAAGGGTCCCCTATTCAAAATCATACCCATATGTGCTGTGCAGCCTCAGACGTTCCTTCAAGCATTGCCCGGCGCCCCAAGATGCCCCAAGCCGGTGGTCCAGCCTGACGGAGGATGCGCGCTCCAGAAATCGGCATAGGCATTCACGTCCGCAGAACAGACCTTCGCAACAGAAACAGCCAGACAAGTCTTGCATCTACGGACCCTGCGAGTCGCACTTGGGTGATTTCGGGAGGAGCCATTGTGTCCCCCGGTCCTGACAGCTTGACATGCCAAGGCAACTAGCAGATGAAGCCGAACATAAGCAAGAACGCAGCACTCAAGACCAGATCACGTGGGGGCTAAGTCAAGTCCAGTCGAGTCAGAGGCGGGCCACCCCCATAGAAACAGTATAGAAACAACTTGCACCACCTGATGCTTTGACCACCTCCTTCAGCTTCCCTTGAAAGAACTCCCTTGGGGTTTGGCTCTTTTGTCAGCCTTCAACCCAACTTGGCAGCCTTCCCCACCCCTTCAAAGGTTTCCTGTCAGGGAGCTTCAAAGGTTTTCTTGGCTTGGGCCTGCATCTTTTCAGCGCATTTCAATCCCTTGCGCTTGGCGTCGCCCTTGTAACCGCACCCCCGCGCGGCTGTGGCGCTGGGGCGTGTGACGCCTTCCAAAACGCCATGGCGTGGTGGGTCATGGCGGTGTGGTTCTTCGGGCTCTCGGGGCTCATGGTGCTGAACTCTCAGGTCTCCAAGCGCTGGGCGCAACGAGGGCGCCTCGGCGCGGGTTGAAAACCAGGGCCTGGGGCCGGCTTCATTGTCAATTCACCTCAGCTTCGTTTGGAGGACCGAGCTGAAGCTTTTGAGGTGGTTCAGCTTTTTGTGTAAGGAAGATGCGTGGGGGGTTCCTTTGAATAGTCCCCTCCGGGCTAATCCAAAGGTTCTCAGAATCCTCGATTGCCTCACTTACGAGGCAGGTAGGGTCCCTCTCATTCCCTTGCAAACCCTTTTTGTTTGCTGGTTTTCCCACGCATGGTCACCGTCACCCCCGGGTTTCCGTTTTCCCACCAGTATGGCAACCAAAAGCTGGTAGCTTAATCAGCAACCACAAGGAACATCAAGGGAGTCCGACTACCTCCACCAAGGAAGGTGTTTTTATTTAACTCGATCTTTTTGTCGGCATCATGCCTAAGGGCTGGAAGAACAATGCCGTGCAGCGAGTTTGCGCCCCTCCCGATGAGTTCGGTGGGGGGGCATCAAGGGGAAAGGTGGAACATTTGCTTTGATGCACTGTCAGGGGACTATCCTGATGATAATCACATTTGGGTGTGGGTGTGTGGTCGTGAATGGAGTGTTCTCACAATCGGGTGCGTCCACTGTACAAACACTGGGTGTTCCGTTGCTCTAAATGATTTAAGTTGGTTCTCGGGTATCCGACAGCCCCGTTCTATTTGTTTAGACCTTTTTAGGTTGACAGGAAGTCTTTGTGCAAAATTCGATCCCCTCCACCTAAACCGTGCTGGGACAATGAGATGCAAGGCAATGTGAGACATTCACTCGCTTTCCAAAGTTATGGGACTTCAGCAAGAATCCCCCGCAGCCGGCGCGGGGGGGGGGAGGGGCAAAGGTGGTGGCATTTTTTTTTTCAGCAAGCCCACGTTTCGCAACTTTAAGGAACTAACATTTATGTGGCGGACGACATGACAACAAGTTCGGAGTTTGCTGGCAAATCCACTCAGGAAGTGATTGGCTGCCTTTCACCATTTGGCTTGGACATCCTGGCAGCCAGCTCCAAACCGTGAATACTTTTCTACTCAACATACATGGTCAACCCATGTCAGTCAACCCCAAACTAGCCGGTGGTTGGAAGGGTTTCCGAAGCTGGAGGTATCCACATTTGCCTTCAAAGAGGAAACCTTTCGGAGCAACCGAGCGGAATTCCGCAATTCTTTATCGACATGGTAGGAAAAAGGGTTCCCTTTTTTTTGCCGTCACTGGTTACGCTTCAGACTTGTAGGCTTCGCATCAAGCGGGTGGACGAGGCAACCGGCCTGTCTTGGACCACCTTGGGAGCTGGGGAGAGCCCCGCCTACGCCGATGCAGCTTGCGCAGTGAACAAAAACTCGAATCTGGGAGGAGTCAGATGGGTCTGAGGTGCGTGAGGCCCTTTTCATTTGGTTAAAGGGAAACCAGGAGCAAGCCCAGAATTTGCTTGGACCCCCCCTACTTTCACACATGCCCTGGTGGTAATTGCAATATGGTTGATTCGGTTTGTTGAATCCCTTGCTTGAGTTGCAGCCACGTCCCAGGGTGAGATCTCCTTTGACGTGGGCCGATTACCACATTCAATGCAGCCAACCAACTCTGAGTCAGGGGTCACGGAGTCTGATGTGGACATTGGCACATGTTGCATCCCTCAAGTGTTTGCTGCTTGGCAGCATTGTAAAGTAGCCCCAAAAGAAGTCTCTGATGACTAACCCTTGTGGGAGGTTTTGTTGGTTGCTTTCAATCATGGGGGCGCCCAAACTGTGAGAAAGCCAAATACTCTTTACGTGCTGCAACAAGCAGGCTTGCCTCAGGCATTTTTGGTCTCACGCCTGGCGGACTTTCCAGGCCCCTGCTGGCTGATTGGCACAGTTTTCGCCTGTGGCACTTGAGAACGTTCACTTTCTTATCACAGCCCGACCTTGAAGCCAAAGCTGCAGCCGCCACTGCCTCGCCCAGCCCTCGAATGGCCACTGGACGGTCGTCGGCGGCATGTAGTAAACAACCAGCCAAGCGATCATTTTGGATCGAACTGCGAATAGGGGCAGTGGCAATGACCAGCGAAGGGACTTGTGGTTTCAGCGCACTGGCTGAGACAGGGGGATCTCTAAATATTTTGCTGCAACAAGGGGACTTGTTTGATTTGTCCATGCCCTTTAGGAAACCATATGGGGATTCGCCTGCCAGTGGCACATGCTTTTGTGTTGGCGCCCAGGTAGTTATTGTCATGGACCAGCTTCCAAAGTCACGGCTAGGCCAGCCACAAGAGTGTGCGGGGCGTGGCTGCGGCTGTGCATCAGCATGAGCAGGGCTTTGTGCCCCACCCCCTACGGGGAATATGGATCAGATTTCTCGAACATCCTTGTTGAACAGTCGGGGAGGTTGCCACCTGGGGGTCCCAGAGGCCCTACGCATAAAGCACTCCTTTGGCTTGCCTACTTGGAGCTGGAGGGCTTGGGATGCATTCGAGTTGTAGGTCATTTTCCGGCATGATGTGTGCAGCATTCTTTGTTTGCTCCTTCGTTTGTGATGCCGATGTGTGTGTTTTGTGTGCAATTTGCATGTTTTATCATTTTGAGTCATCTTCTTTTGGGGCCCCCCAAAACAGAGTAATTATATATCTAAATGTGTAGTTGTACCAAGAAGATCCCAATCCCCATTTCAACACAACAACACGATTTCTAGAGCAATCCTATTTTGGGACCCGTCAACGACTACCGCAGTTTCAGCAACAAACAACCAACCAACCAGCCACCAACCAACCAACCAACAACCAACCACAGCCAACAAACAACAACCAACAGCACACAACAACAAACAACAGCACACAACAACAAGGAACAAACCACACACAAACAAACAAACGAACGAACAAACACACAAATAAGCAAACACACACAGAAACACACAAACAACAAACAATAAAAGAAACAAGTAAGCAAACACATACACAGAAACAAGCAACCACACAAGCAAACAAACAAACAAACAAACAAGCAAGCAAGCCAGCAAATAAAGAAAGAAAGAAATAAATAAGTAGAGAAAGAAAGAAAGACAGAAAGAACTAACAACAGAAAGAAATAAATAAATCAATAAAGAAAGACATAAATGAATAAAATAACGAAATCAATGAATAAATAAACAAAGAAGTAAATAAGCAAATACCACGAAAAATCAAGAAATGACAAAACAAATAAACAAACAAAAACAAAGAAACAAACAAACAAACAGACAAGCAAACCAACAAACAAACAAACAAACAAACAAACAAACAAACAAACAAGCAAGCAACCAAACAAACAAACAACCAAACAAACAAACCACCTCAGCATCAACAACGACAACGACGACGACGGCGACAGCGACAGCGACAGCGACAGCGACAGCGACAGCGACAGCGACAGCGACAGCGACAGCGACAGCGACAGCAACAGCAGCAGCGACAGCAACAGCAGCAGCAGCAACAGCAACAGCAACAGCAACAGCAACAGCACCACACCCTCATTTGTGGCAGGCATCAATCTGGTGCACAAGCAGCGCAAGGTGAGCCGCGTGGTGGTCCGGGAGGCCTTCAACGCGGGCTGGCGTGTGGGCGATGAGGTGCTGGAGGTGGAGGGCAAGCAGGCGCAGATGTTTTCTTTGGCGCATTTTGCTTGGATGTTAGGACTTTAACTTTTTGCCAACTAATGGGTTTTCCATGAAACCACTAAAAGTCAAACTTTTAGCAGGGGAGCAGAAAGCAACCCAGTTTTTCCAGTCGAGCTGAGAGGGCTGTGGGTCAACACTGTTTTGGTTCCATTTTGGGGTAGGTGCACCACCCATTTTAGTCGGGATTTTAGTGGGGATTGGGATGTTCACTGGGGGTACGGGATTTTGACCCATGGCCATGTTTTACTGAGAGAGATGGCCGGGAAATGGCACTGTCAGAGGCAGCTGAGTTAAAGTTGACACGCTTACTCTTGCGGCAGTTTCTCTTTAAACCACGGCGCGGGGCGGGCTCTCCATTTTCGCCAGCGGGCCTTGTTTGGCGCACAACGAACCTCAGCCATTTGACTTTGGGACCTTGCCTTTTAAGGTGTTCCCTGGTGCGTTGGTTGCACATCCAGCGCATCCCAGTTGCCAGTGTCCAAGGTAACCTTCTGTTTTGTTGGATATCCTACAGGCTGGATCCACAGATTCGCCACATCCAAGTCGGTTTCTAGAGCAGTGGGGCGGGTGCTGCTTTCTCGTCAAACCAGGTCCGGTCCAACGCTGCGGCGCAGCGCGCCGTGCGCCGGGCGCTGAAGCGCCACGCGCGCGCAGGCGGAAGCTTGAAGTTCAAGGCGGGTTTAGCAGGAAACAATTTTCGCGGGCCCGAAACGGGTTCGAACACCCTCAGGCTGTCGTGGTGGAAGTCCACCCTTTAAGCTAAAAAACGGGTTGTAATACCCTCAGGCTGACATGGAAGCCCACCGTTTAAGAAAGCCTTCTTGTTTTTTGTGCCTAGGGGCTTCCAAGTTAGCCAGGGGTGTAAACAGGTTCCAGCTTGCACCGAAGGAAAATCATGTGTGTAGCATCCAGAGCCCAGTCACCCAACTTTCTGGAATCTCTGTTCTCGAGAGGTCATCTATGCCACCCAACCCTGGCCCACAGAAGTTGAAAAACAGAAATTAGGTAGTGGCAACAGTATGACAGTAGCCCAGAGGTGGATAGAACGGGTAGAACCTGTTTAAACATGCTGGTAGAACCAAAGTCAAGTGAACCTTCTAATCGGATCAGGTGAGGCGCTGGGCGGTGCGGGATGGCAGCCGCGGCATGCTGCAGCTCACCAAGGATGGCCGCAAGACACTCAGAACATCTCAGAACCATACCAGTCATTGTGATTTCAAGCCTATCCAGTTTTACTATATGCGAATATTTTGGGTCTGAGGTCCTTTCCTTTGGACAAATCAGCCTTTGAGTTATGTTAGAGGAATCTTTCGGGGATTTCAGGCTAAGATGAACACAGGGCTTGCCTTGTGGCTGCGAATGTGGGTCATTTGTTTCACGGTGCTTCAGTGGGTAGCGGAACATGGCCGGGTGCGAAGTCTACAAGTCTCGCGTTAAGCCTTGCAGCTCGCCCATAGTTTACCCACTAGCTTTAGAGGGCAAGCGAGAAAGTTTAGATTCGAACAGGGTTTTGCTGGCTGGGGATCGGGCCTCTTTTGACATCATGTTTTTGACCTTGAGGTTGCCTTTCAACAGCATCTGAAGATGACATGCGTAGCTTGGGCCAAATGCTGAGGGGGAGTGGGTGTGGTCCCCTGGTCCACCGGGCAAGGTTCAGGGAGCCACTCGTTTCGATGCTTTCCGTGCTGAGACCGTGAGCATTTGGTGCCCATGGTGGACATCGTCCGGGGCGTTCTGAAGGACCTCCGAGGTTGAAGATTCCCACACCTTCGCTCGTACGTTGCACAGATGTGATGCTTCAGGCTGAACTTGATTTTTTGGCCCTGCTGATATCCCACTTGCTCAATGACTCTATGGTATTGGTTGCTATATTTGTTTCTTTCGGCCGCTTGCGGCTCCCAACCAGGCTTTTCTCGCTGGAAAGGTGCCGAATGGGCAACTCTGATGCCCTTGGCGGCAAGAAGGTGACGGCAAGCTTTGATGGGTCCAACTTCTGATTTTCATGGCCCAACTCGCTTAAAAAGGGTGCAACCTTGCTTATAACTGCTGGCTCGGGTTCTCAGCATACGGAATTCCCAGGGCTAGTTGCTTACCCCGAAAATAGCCCGGGAAGTCTAGCCAGATACCAACCAGATACCACAGTTTGGGTGAGCTTCCTGTAGAATTTCCTGGTGCTTTGCTTGGAAACACGTAAGCCCCGTGTTTCAAGTTGCGAGGACTACCAGGCGGTTCTCTTCATGGAGGGCACCTTGCAGAAGCCCAACTCCCGGCTCTCGCGCCTCATCATCCGGGCGCTGGATGCCCAGAGAGTGGCCTTCAAGGCCGGGAGAAGGTATGCCGTTGGTGTGGGCGTACTTGTCGGATTATAGATGCGATACCGGCATGTAACTTGTTTGGACATATGCGTACACATGTAAACAAGAGCACATACATGCGCAAACATACTTAGGGGTTGTGTGTGTATATGTGTTGAAAGTACGTAATGGCATACACATTAACGGACGCATATTTACATACAAATGCTTCTGAGTCTGTGAGTAGTATGTCGGTTCTTGCTTCGTAGAATAAACATATGTTGACTTTTGTTCATTGTCCGAGGCCCATGTCTGTGGCTCAGGCATGGTTGTCGGCCCTTGCTACTGCCAGTGCACTTCTTTGCATAAAAATGCTCGTGGGACCCCCAACCCTCCACCAAAAACCGAGGCAGAAACACACACACACACACACACACACACACACACACACACACACACACACACACACACACACACACACACACACACACACACACACACACACACCAAACCGACTTCCAGCTTTGGTGCGTTGTTCGTCCTCCCAAAGGGAGTGTGTTTGGGGTGAGCCCACTTGGTAAGCAGGTTTTATAATCATTTCATACATTGCCCTGAACTAACTCCAGTTGAAAACCCAATCAGACCAAATCGAGATTCGCATCGGATCATCGGTGCCTTTCTGGTGGGCCGCGTCATCGGCCCGGCCCTGCTTCTCCAGGCCATCGATTGCAGCGACGAGAAGGCAAACCCTGGCATACGGAAGATCGCAAAGGAAGTCTCCGGAGAGGAGGCCTGAGCTCACCGGTCTGGGGGTAATTACAACGAGGGGTATCACGATGAAGCTCCGCAATACGGGGGTTTCACTTCAGAGTTTCCAGTTTCTGAGTAATGGTTTCTTCCCACATGTATTCTAGGATATGTTTTTGGCATCATGTTGCATTTTACGAACCAGAATCATCCATATCAGGGGGAAGCTGAGATAGTGCCGGGGAAACGCTCAAACATGGATGGTGGTTGGTGGCTAAATAAATCACAATTATGAATGACTTCTACCAAAGGGTCCTCAGAGTTAGCATTCACACCTCACCCATGCCTCAAACGACTTCTATGGATGTGACAATCCAGTCCAATCGCCTTGCCCGGCCTTTGTGGAGGCTGTGCCTTTCAATTCAACCAGCCAAGGGCTCCGTATTTCACTTTGGGAAGCTGAGCAAGTGAGCATAGGGTTGGTAGATCCAGAGGGGCGCCTAATTGTCCAGCTACTCTTTCCCTTCACTGATTCATGTGATTGAAACTCGCAACCGAGAGCTAGAGAGCTTCTGGAAGGGAATGGGGAATCAACGCTCGAGAAATTGGAATTTTAGGAGGGAGAGCCATGGCAGAGATTCTGACATGGTCCTGGCCCTTGCTAGCTGCGGGCGATTTCCAAAAGTACTACCCTCCCTCCCACCAACAACTTGAGAAGCGTGCAGAACAAATTGTCCACCAATAAAATCGCCTTTTTAAAAGGGGGTATCTGCACAAACCCATGCCTGGTGGGAATGTAAACAAGTGTGTTTTGTGCCTTGCTTGTACCAGGAGCAGCTGGGATGTTCAACCCACTTCAGGTAGGTAACCATGGTTCTGAGAAATATTTACCGCTACCCCAGTTGCAACCATGGTTCTTCAAGTGAGGAGAATGGACAACCAGTACATGGCTTGAAGGTGAGCTTCTGCCACTGCTTATTGTCCATTTGCTTAAGACGCAGATGTCGCGTCTTTGGTTTGAAGGAAACCAATGCATCAGTGCTGGAAATACGTTTGCAAATAGAGGTTTCACCGTATGAAGGTGGGCCGTATGTTTTGAAACTCAGGTGTTGCCCCAGCTCTTCGTGAACGGAACCCATGTGGGCGGCGGCCGTGCGCCTCGTTGAGCACAGGAAGCAGGGGCTCTTTCCCTGCTGGTGCTCAGCAGGGAAGGAGGGAATGAACCTGGGGCTTCCCTTAAAGCAAACCATAGGGGATGGTTTTTTGGGGTCATTCCATTTCTCATTCCCTGCCTATCGCACCAGCAAGTATCAGTTGGTGGTTAGGGTTGGTGGCAGGATTTGAATCCCCGGTCCTTGTACAGGAGTCCAGACAACCTCCAAACCGCCAACCAAACCATTTGGAAGGAATATACCAGCGACCCCCAACAAAAAGAGGGCACCTTTTTGCGGTCGGCGCCAGGGACTTGGGACGTGTGCTTCTCAAAGGGGTACCCTAAAATGGAGGGTTTCCTTTTCGGCCCGTCTCCGCAAATACCGGCCAAAAGGGGATCGATCCACCGTTCTTCGCGACACCCATACTTCCTTGTTGGCATGGTTCAAGCATCACGTTCGCGGCCAAAAGGACCCCCCCTTTGTCCTAATGTTGCCAGGCAAATCGTGACTAGCGCACTCAGCTTTCCCATGCAGAGGAGCCCGGGCCCCATCACAAAGGTCCTTTCTGAGGGTTGCCCGCTTTCCAGTTCCCATATTTTTTCTCTTTTGTTGTTCCACCAGACATCTACCAGCAATTTGTTGGGACTGTGTGCAATGTTGCTGTGCCCTCCAAGGCTCAATCAAAAGAAACCACCAGGGGATTGTAGGAAGGGGGACGAAGGTACTGTACTGGAATGTGTTATAAGTCATATGTTTTTAGATTTTAATTCTGCTTGTAGCAAGTGGGAACCAACCAACAGCTCACTGCTTACTGGTGACCTGCAAACGGAAATGGTGAAAATGCGTGGAAGTGACCGTCCAATTGCGTGTTAGTGTTCAAGGGTGGTTCCCTTGACACCCTACTATGCCGGCAAATGGAATCACTCGAATGCATTGTGTTTCTGCATATGTATATGCACATCAATTTGTACATACAACGCGTGCGGAAATGGATGTTTGTCGCACTTGCCTCAACATTTCCACTGGTGCCAGAGGTACTTGGATGCTTAACTAACCTAGCCAGTAGGGGGGAACTGGGGTTGGTGCCGCTATAATTGGAATTGCCTGCGTACTAAGTGGGTTGCAAAGGAGACAAGGGAAGCCAAACCAAGTCGTTCCGCCTTTGGGGTTTGAACCATCCTGTAGAAGAGCGACATCCAAGTAAACCTGAATAAAGCACGACACTCAAGTAAACCTTCCCGGAGCACGCGGGCCAGACGTCTTTCGCTGCGCAAGGCGATCCTGGCTGCGATCCGCGACGGCCTGCGTGAGGAGGAAGAAAGGGTGTGCGTGCGCTTTCTGGGTGAGGTGCGGAGCTCTCTTCACTAGGTCCCCCAGTAGTGCCGTTTCTTTTATCGTTTCTTGTTTGGGGGAGGGTACCCCTACTAAAATAGACTACAGGAAAAAGGGTACTCTTATTCTAAGCTCTCTACTGGAGGACCTAGTTCAGGTTGGTTTACAGTGAGCCAAAAGAAGCAACACCATTGGAAAGGGCCCAAATCCTCATTGTGATCAGAGTGCCCTGTGCAGGTTGGTTTAAAGGGAAATCTAGCAAAGTAGAAACACAGCACGTTCGCGGCAAACCAATTACTGTGTGTTAAGGCTTACGGGGAAACCAAACAGTCACCTGGAGTGGATTGCACCCCTGTTTGTCTTTTTGTTTGGTGAGGGGGGGGAGAAAAGGGTTCTTCTTTTGTTCTGCTAGGGTCACCGGGCAACTGGAGCCATGTTGGTTGGAACATGCGCGCATATGGGTGTTGTTCGATTACCCTGTTTGGGGTGGTGTTCAACAAGAAGCCACAGGAGCAACTGTCATTCTAAGCAGCCCTCAATTTCAAAAGCACCATGGCTATTTACCCTGTTTACCCTTGATAATTACTTTGCTTTCCTTTGAGTTTGGTGAAAGTAGATGCGGGGTGTCTTAAAGTAAGGGACCCCCCAAGTTGGTGGGCTTTCCCTTTAGCTTCCCTTAAAAACCACCCGGATTAGGAAAAGACACGCCCGTGGCGCAATTACAGCCGATGTTGCATTATTCATCCTCTTTTACTTACCCACATGGAGGGAATTGTGCCATTTACTGTAACCCTGGTGTATGCGAGTTGCGGCATCATTGCCAACTTTAGGCGGGTTCCTGTAGGGCTGCCGCGGCTACGAAATTGCAGGGAACTACACTGAACAATGTCCGGACGGACATAAATCCTGATGTATATCTGATGTCCACCAACATGTCCTGCAGTGAAGAAATTACACCGTTTTTCCTAGGAGCCTGGTTTAAGATATTGCCTGTTTGTTCCATTGTCAAGTCTCTTCTTGGTGGACGCCGCTTCATTCAACAATGATGTCACACAAGGAAGCCAATTGATACGACCCCAAATCCCATAGCTGGCTTTCGTGGCTTTTCCTCTCGTGGAGTCCCACTTCGGATTTGGATTAGGCATCCCCCCCCAGCTTTGAACAACCCAGTTTTGTTGGTTAATACGTTTGGCAGAGGAAACCTACCTTAGGGGCCTCCAAACGCGTTTGCAATATAGTCCAAACAGTCCAAATACTATGCATGCACAACATCCTGGATAGGCGGTTTACCCCAGTTTTCTGAGGCAGAGGTTCATCCATTCCAACTGGTGCAGGATTTTGCCCATCCACAGGCCCCCCAACCCAGAAACCCTTTCCTGGAGGAAAATGCTTGGGGATTCGCGCACCCAGGCCAACGGCCGCGGCTCTGGGCGTTGCCCTTGCCAAGAGAAGGCGCGAAGCAAAGAAAGTGTTGCTTTCTTTGTGGCTTAAGGTGCAGTGAGTTAAGTTTATCAAAGACACCAGCTTCTTTCAACCAGAGCAACGGAGTTAGGTTGCGGTAAATTGCTGAGCTTTGTGTTGATGGAGAAAAGAGAGTGTCTTTGCCATGACATGGCTTTTGGTTTAAGGTGATGCCGTCCTGAGAGCAAGTCAGCAAGTCCGTTGAGCTAACCTTGTCAAGAGACATCTCCCGCAGCAATTCCCTACAAGCCAGTCTGCCTCCTTGAGCTAGCATAACTGCAACGGGTAATCCTTTATGTCCATCGTCTTACATATTCTGCGATATTCTGCGGTTAACCTGGGTATTAAACACCATATCCAAAACCCTGTGCAGAGTTGCCAAACCCAGGCTTGTACGGATACGAGTGCTCGATCCTGACATGTGTGACAGTTGGATCAAGCCTGCAGGTGGACTTGGAGTCCATTTTCCCTTGGCTGGTGTACATGATGTGTTCGGCCGGTGTCATTTGAGCTGCTCTTTGTTGGGGTCATGTTTCGAGGGGTCATGCAAGGATCCCCAATAATTTCAATCTAGCCTTCTGAAAGCAACTATGCAACCTGAGTGAGGCACCCTAACACGACAATGTTCCCTTCACATGCATCCTTTGCACGGTTCCAACCAGCAGAAGTGCGGCATTCACAAAAATTGCGGTTTGTTGCAGAGCACCGTTTGGATAAGCTTTTCGTGGGTTTCACCCCTTTCTGCGTATTGTATTGTTCTCTTATAGTCCTCTTCCAGGCGTCCACAAAATAGCTATCCAAGTCTTGGAGATTTGTAGGGACTCCACAAAGGGGATTGCGCCTTCACGCATTGATGAAGGTTGCTTGCATGAGATTTTTTCCTTGCGTCGGCGAATAAATTCCAAATAACTGCTATTGGACCCCGATCTAAATGACAACCTGGCTGTGCAGCGAGGTCCCAGCGCGTGGCACGACACGCAGCCAAGAGCAAAGTGACCGGGACGGTAGCGAGCGCCGACGTGCACGAGAAGCTCCTCAGTGACCTGGCTTGAATATAGGGGTCTGGAGGTAAAAGGAGCTCACCCAGGACCCCTGGATCCGG